TGGCCCACAGCACCCCCACTTTTTCACTCCTAGAATGCTTCATACATCACCTCACCTGGCTGGCTCCTCTAATCAGGGAGAGAATAGCTAACACACATACGAAACATGCTACAGGCGCTGTCTCATTCAACTCCATAGTAGTCCCAAGGGACAAGTATTGTTATTGTCCCCTGCCATCGTAAGGATGGGAAGGCATGGCTAAGTAACTGTTCAAGGTCGTGCAGAGGCGATCTGTCCCCAGGCCTGAGCCATACACAGCGATGTGCCCAGCTCTGGGACATGGCAGAGCTGGGGACTGAACACGCTGGGTCCAGAGTCTGGGCTCTCACCACTCTGCCACATTGCTGAGTTGCCCCTTTATTCTAACCTAGAGAAGGCTTTCTGCAGCTGTATCAATGACATGGGCACACGTGCCAGGGTGCTATACTCAGTTCTCATGATCACGTTGGCCAAGAGAGCTTGGTTATGGCCGTCTGGGGTCACGATTTAAGTAATTAGCTGCCTAATTTCCCACGGCCCTCAATATCACCAGACTCATGTCGGATACCCAAGGACAGCCCTACTTAGAATTAGGCTCCTGCGGGAAGCCACTGAACTTGGAGTAAGAGTTTCCTCCCATCCTCGTGTCTGCCAACTCAGCCCCTGAGCTGCAGGCACAGAGGACAAAGCCCAGCCCCAGAAGTCCATACGTTCTGCTCCTGTTACCAACACAAACACACCCCTCCCTAGATGGCTGTGCTCACTCTCCAAAAGTGCTAAGAATCAAACCAAGGGGACACACCCATATGCCTCCCCCTCTCGCCCCCTTAAACCTGTGTCTCTTTTTGATAAACAGAAAATTCTCACATGGCCAGGGAATTCCAGGAAGTTCCCACCTGAGAGTCTGTGATGCTTGATTGAGAAATTCCTCCATTTTCTACACAGCCCTTCAAACAAGATTTGGTCCAGCTTTCCTTCCTGAAGTCTGGATTATAAAAACGAGACATCTTATTTCCTTTTTTTTTTTTTTGGCTATAAAATTATATGGTAATATTTGAAGATGTTGTTTCAAAATACGACTCGCCCCTTATCCCCAACCCCAAAACCGCTCATCTATGAGTGATTCCTGTGGATTTTTCAGAGACCGTCTTTCCCCAAATGGTAGCTTTTGAGCTGATGCCTGACAACTGCTATCAAATGCTTAACATTTGAAAATAAATGCACAAAACACAGAAGATGAACAGATGGTCCGTGAGTTTTGTCCATTCTCTGTAGCTTTCTACCACTCTCGGCACCACCAGACACAGGAGTCTGAGCCAGCCTCAGGTGGGTGTATTGTGAGGAGGAGGCAATCTGTCCCCGGGTCTCAGTCACCAAAGGAAAAGCTGTCTTCAGGGGCCCCGCAGGGGGGCTGCACCCCCAGTGGGGTCCTTGCTCCTAATTCCTGCCGGTGGGGGTGACATGAGTGGGGAAAGGGCTTATAGGCACCAGGGACTGGTTATCCAATTGGCAACCCCGAACGCTGGGCCTGGGTCTTTGTACGTTGAGATGGAAGAGACAAGATGGACTTCTGGGGATCCATGGGTCCTCTTGGGAAAGCCCAGAAAATGCCTGGCAGTCTCTCTCCCATCTGTCTGATTTCTCTGATGTCCCCTAAGTTCATGAATGGTTCCACTTGATGGACTGTGTGGTAGCTACAACTTGGCCACACACGTTTCTATCCCTGTGTCCATTCGCCTTTGCAATGTGTTTTTACGGTGCCTTCCAACCAGGAATGGGAGATACCTCTCCACCCCTTGAATTTGGTTTATGGGAAGGCAGCAAACATGACATAAACAGAGGTGTGAGAGGTGCCCGTGCACTGGGGTTGGCTTCCCATTATTATTCCTTGAAGTCCTTTCAGCCACCATATGGAGAAGCCTATGTTCTCCCTGGAACACACAAGAGCATGCTGGGAAAAAAACAAGTTATCCCAGCTGACCTCCCTTTAGCCCAGTCAGGTCACCAACTGGGCAGGGGAATGAAGACACCCTGGACCATCTAGTCACCAGCTGACCTTCCAGGCGACTGAAGATACACAGTCAAGTCCACCCGAGATAAGCTGGGATGGCCAGGCCAGGAAAACCACCACAGTGAGTTAAATAAATGGTTCCTTTTAAAAGACACTAAGTTAGGCCCTCGGTGTTAGATAATTGACATGGACTTGTGTGTGTTTCCAATAACTCATCTTCTTGGGAGATTTTGAGTCCCTGAAGGCAGGACTATATAGCTCATCAGAAGGTCAAATTCAGGTCCTTGGCTTTGGGGGTGAGCTTGGCAATGAAATGGGACTTCTGGGGACCAAGAGTGATGCCAAGTGAGTCACTCCTTGAATTGTTTCTCGGTATTGGCCGTCACACATCACTAAACTTAAAAATCTTTGGGGAAGTCCCCAAAACCCCCATCTGCAGAAAATCCACCACTGTGGATGGCTTCCCGAGCATACATCCCCCTCGTCCCAAAAACAGTTTCTGATTTTTGTTCCGAGAGCTGCCCCTTGCCCATTCTCCGTCCACCTGGTGGGGTGGCACTCTACCCACAGTTCCAAAGGCACAGCTCATGATGCACACGGGAGGCGATCTCTAAGATGACACCAGAGGCCCCCACCTCGTTGAATTCTCACCTTGTGTAACCCCCTCCCCTTGAATGTGGGCTGGATTCATTGACTTGCTTCTAAAGAACAGAAAGCAGCAATATGATGGGAGGTCATTTCTGAGGGTAATGGCTTCTGGGTTAGACAGTCCCCCCCTGCTGACCCTTCATTTGTGACTGCAACCCTGGCCAATAGCTGTCTGACCCACGAAGCCACACCCACCTTCCTGCCTGCAGACTTTGAGACGTCATAAATACATGTTTCAAAATTTTGGAGTAATTTGTTACACAGCAGTAGATACCCACTGCAGCTTAGGTCAGGCCCATCAAAGCCCCTCACCCTCTGCCCCTCTCCCCTGCAGCCACAGCACTTGGCTCAGGAATGTACATGTGACCAGGCTGAGCCCGTCAGAGCAAACGGCAGGGTTTTTATAGGATGATGGTCCACGGAAGCTGGGACTTCTGCAGCCTCCTTGTCGCTGCCGATGGGAAGTCCTGGCCTATCTTGTGGGTCTCTATCTCCCCAGCACCCAGAGCCATCCATGCCTGGCTCAGAGGAGGTGCTCGATATTTATGACATGAAAGGTGGGTTTCTATCCAGCAGAGGGAGAAAATACGAGGGGCAGCAGGAGACGGAAGCAGCAACAGCAACCTCTTCTACCATATTATCTTAAACAGAACACATCACCAAACAGCTATAGCTCTCCGTGCATTTTCGTTTTCTAAGTGTGATGCACTTTCCGTTGGCTTCACCCAACTTAACTGGCAGAGTTTCTAAAATTCTGCCGAGTGCCCCGGGATCAGTGGCTTCCCTGTATCTGCCCAGCGAACCACTTACAGGGCGTCTTCCCAGGAGACGGATAAACTGTGGCATCACGACATACTTGGTGTGTCAGGTCTGTTCTTTTCTGCTACGCACCGGCATTGGCAGTTCCAACGGCACGTGCTAGAGATTGGTTCACTGCATCTTTCAAAGATAAAATAGAAGCATGATTTCATTCGGGGAAGGAGCTATCGGGCTGGCACCCAGTGATGCAGATCAGGGCCGCTCTGATCTCAGAGAGCAAGGCTGCTTATCACACCAGCGGCTTCTAGAAGTGTTCCTACTCCTCCCCCCCTCCCCCCTTCTTCCGGCCTCCCTGGACGAGCATGGCTGTTAAAAAAGGGGCATATGCCTTTTGATTTTTACTTTTGGTAGATGCTACATTAGGAGAAAATAGTAAAAGGTTAAGTAGTTTTACAAACAGTCACACCCTCAGAGACCACGGAAAAATGGCGTCTCTGACTGACACCAGCCCCCTTGGTAACTTTTGTCATGGCTGGAATGAAATTGTTATTTATGTTATACTTGAGGGTTTGCTATGCACATGACTGGATGACTGAGCAGACAGCCTGATTATGGGCACAGGAAAATACTGAGGTCGCAAAGCATGTGACTTGAAAATGTCAGGGGACTCAACTTCAGAGGGCCACAGCGGCCAGGTACGTGGATGAGAAGGATAGACACTAGGGCATGGTGGAGACTGTGGTGAAATGAGATAACACATCACTTCATAGGAGCCACCATGGTTCAGCTCTGTCCAATTATCCCCACAGGGGAACCAAGGCCCAGTGCTGCCAGCCTTTCAGTTTTTTTCAAGTGAATCTGAAAACCCAGAAATGTAAATAAAATATCCCATTTTTAAAAAAAGTCACAATGGTTTCAATTAAATAAAATTCTGTGCATGTGAAACAAAGCTCATCTTCCGGCCCCATCAGCCAATGGCTCTCCACTTTGTAATCGCCAAACCAGAGTCTATTGAAAAGCAGACATGTTAACAAAAGCGTTTGCATATATTAACTCAGTTTAATCATATCAGTTCTTAAAACAAAAAAAAATTCCTCCAAGAGACAATAATAGTTCACAGTAACTGCAAAGCTTACTCACACGTTTTAAAAATACTGGTCATGCTTAGCATTCCAAGAAGGTATTGTAGAATAACTGTAAAAACTTTTACCAGGGACATCAGCTTCTGACTTGAAAAATTACAAATACTGAAGCATTTGGGTATCTGACACAGTAGTTTGGACATCGTCTGTTCCTTGGGTGAGTTTCTGGAAGTCTGGAAAATTGTTCCTCGAGAGTTGGATAAAGCGGCTACTCTAAACTAAACATTTTCAAAGGTAGAAAACAAGCTAGCAAGCGACGCAGACAAAGATAAAGCCCTCTAGGACAAACTCTCCACGCATGGGATGCCGGCATATGCACCATGAATCCTGGAAGACTAGAATTGATACATACACGTGGCCCGAAGTCTGGCGCTCCAGGCCCAACTAAGGAGCAAGCGTTCACCTACACGTTAATGACAAACTCGGGGTTAGTGTAGGAGAAGCCAGCAAATTCGTTTTGGTCCAAGTTCATGATGAAGAGTTTGTCAGTTGGTGTGAGTTCCACAGGTTGTCTGGTGAACTCTTTGTCGAAGTTGGAGGTATCTCGCCTGTCTCTCTGCCAAATGGAAAGCAGACACATTAACACAGCATAAGCAGAAGGACACGGGACTGAGACGCGCCAGCCCTCGGGCGGCTGATGACATCTCACAGGCAGGGTCAGAAAGAGCCTCGAGCTGACAGATTTTAGCAGCTGCATTGCACGTGCAAGCCCCTCGCTTTCCTTTCACGTCGTAGGCTGGCTTTCAGGACAGAACACTTGGACATTTTCTAAGAAAGGAAATGAGATATCGACTTTCTTTGATGATCGCCATAAAGCGGGGCGGGGGGGCGGGGTGCTCTGTTTTCTTTGGCTTTGAGATGAACTGGGTTGGAAATGACCTCTTCCCAGGTGTAATGCCACAGAGTTAGTCCCTGGGGAGGGTGTCCCGGAGGAAAGCACCCAACAGTGACTCCTGTGGCTGGAGGCCCCTTTCTTTAAAAGGGAGCATGGCTCCCCGCAAAGCAGAAGGTATGTGGGGAAATCAGGTCAGTGCTTAATGAAAAGAGCCAGCCACTGTCCACCCCACATTCCCTGGTACAATCCAGGCTTTCAAGGGGCACCCAGAAATTCACCCACACCTGACATGTGGGTCGTCAGCCAGAAGGTCTCCCCAAGAATGTTTATAGCACGTATCTAGTCAACAAACTGTAAGAAACAAAACCCAAAGCTGAAAATTAAGGTCTGTAAGGGCAGCCTTCAAACAAACAAACAAAAAGTCTATTCTCCTCGTTAGTCTGACATTTCTTTGCGGGGAGGGGCAGGCATTAATCCCAGGTTAAGCACAGTTTTCGGTGAGTTTTACCAGGGAATGTCAGAGTGTGGGCTAATCAAAACATCTCGTGTCTGCACGATGCTCTCACCGCTTCAGGGTCTTTGTCCTCCGATCATCTCCTCCTCTCCTCACCACCCACCGGGCGGCAGGTAGAGCTACAGTCCTTACCCCCCATGGTTGGACACAGGAGAAAACGGAGGCACAGGAAGGTGAAGTGACTTGCCCAAGACCGCACAGCAGGTTCGTGATGTTTACCTGACCACCCCACTCCTAATGAGGCCTCATCTCGGCCCCGCTGACGAGGGGGACAGCCTGATGGCTGATTCATTACAGGACAACCAAGGCTAACAGCTGGACTTCACGGCTACCGGACAGCTGACACCAGCGGTGCGTCACGATTGTAAAGAAGGGCAGGTTCGTGAGGCCTGACGGACTTGCTAGTTTGGCCAATGTCTCCCAGGCTGTAGGTTGACGCCCCAGTGGGCGCTGACTGATAAGGGTTTCTCACTGCTGGGCTGCTTTCCCTTTGCAAAAAGCCACCCAGAAATTCCTTCCTTTTGGCTGTCCCCCTGAGGTAGGTAGAATGTCCTTACGTAGCGCCCCACTTACTGTGGTGGTGCACGTGTGGGGTGTAGGGAGTGGTGAGACACCAGCAACACACCTCAGTAGGTGCAGTCGGATCGGATCGGGCTGGCAGAAATGTTTCCTGGATGGCGGGGCCTCTCCTGCCAGGCCCCCCTCCCCCCCATTCAGCGTGGTCTTGTCCTGCCTGCTGTCAGACTGTTCCTTTTCATGTCCCAGGAAAGGCTCCAATGCCATGCCTGCCTGGACCCTGCAAGTCATACCTGCCACCCTTTTAAGGGTCTTCATCACTCTTGCTGTTATCAGATGCTGGTTTATTTACTGCCTGTTTCCAGGGACGGAGGGTCCTTGTCTGTTTCTTCACTATTGTATTTCCGGTGCCAAGTGCAGCGCTTGGCACGCAGCAGGCTGTCTGCGATTCTTTGCCGAATGAACGAATCAATGAATGGAGACTTGACTAAGGACGGGCCTCTTTACTTTCCCCAACTTAGAGCCTCTCCTGAGCCAGACACCTCACTCTGGAGCAAAACAATGGAAGCTGTTCCTGTTGATCCTAAGGGCCTCTCACATTTGGACCCCCAGCAGGGACGGGCTGCATTCATCCCCGTCGAGGTCTGAGCTCCAGAGCTGGGCGTGGGCCCTGGCCGATTTGGGGCTGGAAGGCAGGAGGCCACCGCCTCTCAGGTCCCCCTGGTGACACTGACCCCACGGGGCCTTCCCTGCCTCTGAGCATCCAGCAGATTCCTTTCCCATCAGCCACTATTTCGAAGGCCCCTCCCCATCTGTTGTGCCGGGGATGAAATGGCCAATGGTCCAGATAGAACTTGTCACTGTGGAGTCTGTCCTGTGGAGAGACCCCTGCAGTCATTACCCCTGAATTTTACCCTAGAAATCGGGAGCACATGAGCCTCTCTGTTGGGACAATTCCTTTCTGAGTTGAAAGCATCTAAAGCCATTGGGAAAAGTCTTACTCGGCCAGAGAGGGTTTGAATTCCACGGGCCTCGTATCAATGCCCAAGGTCTCTGTGATCGGGCCCCCTCCTCTCAGAAGGGCAGCAGCGGAGTGAGAAGCCTAACAAGTGAAGAGAGGGTTTCTGGGATCCTGGTAGACAATCCCCCACGGCTAATAACATGCACTGTGTTTAGGTTCTTTGGATGTTCTTACTTAGTTTCTGTCTTTGTTTTTTTTTTTCAATTCTCCCCTAATTAAGTTCATTGGAAAACCTCAGGCTGTCTGATCTATTGGGTTGTTGGAAAAGTCATGATGTATTTTTTCTATGTTTTTCATTGCAAAAATGCATCATGGCTTTTCCGACAACCCAATAGAAGCACCAGGAATTGTCAAGCTGGGTGCATTGTGCTGGAAGGGCGGCAGGGTCTCCCTGACAGCTAGAAAGGGGACTGCCTGCGAAAATCTGAGTGATAAACCCCAAAAGGCGGGACTCGGAACTGAGGACAACCAGAGCCCGCTCTCCGTAGGGGTATCTGTCTCTGCTCAGCCCGCCGTGATTCTGTGGCCTGTTCAAGCACGGAGATGGTGCCTTTGGCCTTCTAGAAGGAAACCCACCCTGGTTACCATGCTACCCTCTCCTTCCCCACCCCCACAGTATAGGACTTCCCCACAATGTGGGTGAAGAAGGCACTACTGCTCCTTCTCCTCCAGCTCAAACTGTGGTCTGAAGAGAGAAAGCAGACCCCTGAAGACTTGCGAGGACTTTTCCTTTCTGGTACGAAGCCATCCCTGACTGACTCGGACAGATGACTCCCCCTCTGGGCTGCATCTTTATGGCTGCCTGCTGTGCTCCTGGCACCCAGCACAGAGCCTGGCACACGTCGGTCTCAGTGAATGCCTCCCGGGGAAAGGGATGGTGGGTGGAAGAGACGCAGGATGGGAAAAACGAATGCAACTCTCTTCCTGGATGAACTTGCAAAGCAGTCCCCAGAAACTGTGTGTGTGGAAAGCTGTGTGTCCTGGTCCGCTCTGCACTTGAAATGCTGATGGAAAAGGAAGCTGCAGATGCCCTGACCCACGCCCCCTTCCCTGAGGCTCCCCTGCCCACCTCGGCGAGGCGTGTCAGGGCAGAAACTTTGGCTTAAGGTCTCATCTCTGCAAACGATTCAACTTTTGGAAAACAATGGCAGCAATTTGGAAAATGTAGAGTACAAGTGTATATATACAGTATATTCTTCCTATATCTATCTATCTATCTATCTATCTATCTATCTATCTATCATCTATCTATCTTACATTGGTCTCTAAAGTTGTCTCAAATCATTCGTCAACGGCCCAGTGTTTCTCCATGGTGTTTACCTTCCTGACAACATACCCAAGGAAAGGCCTGGTGACCCAACAGCCAGATAGAGGTCCTCAAATCGCTTGCCTGCTGGTGGGCATGGCTCAGAGACGCCAGGTAGAGAGCAGAGAGGGTCCCATGCTGAACGTCAGGAAACCCAGCTTTGCTTCGCAGCTGGCTGACCTTGGGCAAGTCACTTCCTCTCTCCAGATCCCAGTTCCCCCAACAATTACGTCTGATCTCTCTCCCTCTCTAGCCCCCTACGCTTGTCAGCGAGGACTTGAGGTTTGCTTTACCCGTGGTTTAGGCCGCTGCCACAAGACCAGGAGCAGGGAGGGGGCCCAAAGCCTGCAGCGAGGAGAAGCAAGCGGGCAGAAAGGAACGGGCAGGCAGCAGGGGCATCTGCCTAAGCGGAAACCCAAACACGGTTTTCTTAAAGATGAGAAGGCTCCCTTCAAGGACATTTGTCAGGTTAGTAAAAGTTCCCTTGATGGTCTCTTAGAAGCCCCAGAGCTTCCGGAAATGACTCAACTCTGATAAGAATTCTCTTTAGGGCTGCCTGGGAATAGCAGGAGACAAGGATGGGGACCCCTCGCTGTCTCCATCTGCTCAGAGAGAAATGGGGTTTCTCCCACCCCAGGGGTTTCCTTGGGCTTCTGGGGTTCAGAGAGTTGCTTGCTAAGAAGACTATTTAGTCCAAGCAGGGGGGAGTGGCAGTTTTGATAAGAAAAGCAAGAGTCCTGGCATATTCCTAGCCAACCCCCAAACCTGACTCCAGTGGGAATGTGGGCTTTGGGCTCTGAGATCGTGGGGGGCCCTGGTTAGCTTGCCCCACCCCATTACGGGACCGGGGGACCCCCTGAATGGTCTGCAGCCTCAGCCTCTCTGACTGGTGGAACACGGGGCTGAGATTAAACTCTGAGTTTGGCTCATTCTGTCCCAGAGCCTCAGGAGGCCCCGCTTGTAGTTTGGGTCCACATTTTTTCAAAGAGAGCTGTTTTCCTTGAAATAGCATTTCTTCTTTGTTTTTTTTTTTAATTGCATCTCGATGCTAGAAGAAAAATGGCACATAACAGATATCCAGATACAAATGAACATTTCCACAAACATCTTGTAAAACAACATCAAAGAGAAGAATACAGCTGTCTACATTTCAGGAGATGGTGTCTTCCCCAGAACCCTTCATCGGCCTTCAAAAGTCAGCCACCCACCCAGCCCAGTCCCATCCGCTCAGGCGTGAGTCTGCTACGGGCTTGAGAGCCACCGTCTTTGTAAATCAAAGTAGGTCATTGCTGTCAATAACATTTGGACACATATTTCAAAGCATGTGTAACAAAGTAATTTTTTTTGTTTTGCGTTTGAACAACAGAAATAAAACCCCAAAGCAAATAAAGTTTGAAATGTAACGTAAAATCCCGGTCCTTGGGGACCTTGCTAGAGTGACCATGTATCTTCAGGAAGTGATGCCAAATGCTCTTCCCACATTGTTTGGGGATGAAGGTGACCCCGAGGGAGCACCTAAGCTGGTTGCCTTTTGACCTCTTGAGGTGCTTTCAGATGGAAGCGGAATTTTAAAAGGGCTTAGGCAACCTCCTTCACTTTGAGTCATGGAAAACAGCAAGCAAAATTGTATTTTTTTTTGTCTGCTCTTTTCAAAGCTCGTGGTGCCTCCCAGTCAGGCACGATGGAGGCCTTTCCTCTAAAGCAAAGCAACCATGTGTCTGGATGCCAGCCAAGCCCCAGGACTGAAGGAAGCTGACACCGCTAGCATCCGATCACCCACCCTCGTGGGTGGGAAGAATCGAGATTGGATGGTTGGCACTGGAGAATGTGTGACAATGGCAATGCAGAAAAAAAAAAAAAAGGGAAAAGCAGCAGGCATTCTGTGTCCCCCACTGGATCTACGTAGCTGACATGCTGGGGAACATCCACTGCAAGAGGACTTCGATGACGTGTTCATTATGCAGTAGCGTTTTTTTCCACAGGCCATCTGCATAAGCTCATCTCTTAGCATGTCCCAAACGACCTGAGGGCATTTGGATTCCGAAACATGGCCACTCTAGTGTCATCAGCAAATAAAACACATGGATGCAACGTGGTAATGAAACAAACAAACAAAACAAAAAAAATGTCACCGCCGTAGCCGAGCTTGAATGACAGAAACAAAGGACGGAGTTCTACACATCTACTTAGCTCTTGAGTTCAGGTTTTAGGAATTCAGAGTTAACAAAGGAAAATCCTTCGAATTCTGATTGGTCAATATTCCTGATGACTTCCTGGTCAGGAGGGGTTAGGACGGGCGGGTGGCGGGTGAAAAACCGGTCGAAGTTTTCAGCATTTCGTCCACACTATGAGAAGGGAAGAAAACAACTTGTGGTGGGTGGAAACAAAACAAAACAGAACAGAACCAAACAAAACCGGGTGTGTTTTCCTCCATGCCTTCTCTTTTACTGCCTCGGAGAGGCTGTTCCAGTGACCAGGAATGAGAGCAACGTAAAAATGCAAGGGTCTCATGACCTTGGGCTCCTGACCTTCCGTTTCTGTAGCTCGTGAGCTGCCCCCGGTGTCCTCCTGGGCAGTCAGGAGCTGTATGGCAAAGGCATGAGATGGTGGGCTGGTGGCACGTGGCATGTCCCCCACCCCCGTCCCACCCGCAGGAATTAGCCAAGCTTGGCTGTTGAAAGACACGGAATTAAAATACCTGAGATGTTTCATGTAGCACAAGATACAAAGGAACGGCCTGCATATATGTGACCTGGGAGATCTCAATATTTAGCAGCAGACACCTCCAAGAGCCGTCCGCTGGCTCTCAGTCAGTAAGAGCTGACATTTTACCCACTCAGCAGACACAGGAGCTCACAAACTCCAGCCGGCGGAGACAGCTCTCAGGACCTGGATTCGGCGCCTGCCATGCCGGGGCACCCACGAGGCTCTAGTTGGCTGCATACATCACTGACCCTTAATTACAAAAGTGCCAGGCGGTCAGCAGCCATTCTCCCTCCAAATGGGAAGAAGAGTGTGGGGTGAAACACACAGCAGAGCACACTGGGACCATCAGGCTCCAGAGGGGACACGGCTGCCATGTCTCACCAAAAGGCAGAGTTACGACCCAGGTGTGTGTGTGTGTGTGTGTGTGTGTGTGTGTGTGTGTGTGTGCACGTGTGTACAAGTGTGCCCTCGTGCAGGAGGGCACACCCATGTACACACACGTTCTCACCCAACGAGGAGGGGTGAGTCGGCAAACCTCATGTGCTTTGATGTCCACCAGCAAGACCCATCTGTGTTGTGAGTGTGTGTGGGAGGCAAACACACAGCCACACGCAGCCATCGTCAGGACAGCTGGCGTGACCACATGTCTGCTGATGGCCACGCACCCTGGGTCCCTCTTCATGGGCGGCAGCAATGACCCCAGGACGTGGGCCTCATTACCATCCTGTGGGACAGGTGGGGAAACCGAGGCCGGGAGGCTATGCAACTGGCTCAAGGTGACACAGCTAACAAGTAGCTGGCCTGCAAGGGGAGCCCGGGCGGTGTGATGGCAGAGCCCAGGCTCCTGGCTGCACTTCACAAGCACGGGTGGCAGGATGGCGACTATGCAATGGAGTCAGGCAGGGGAGGCGGGGGAGGGGGAGAAGTCACCAACGGGGCTGCTGAGGTCTCTGGTTTGAGTGACAGAGGTTACAGCAGTCACTGAGATGAAGAAAGTGGGCGAATTCAGAAGGATGAGTGTTTCCGTTTGGGTGCGATGACCTGGAGGGACCAGTGAGATCCTAAGGTGACCTGAGGGCGTCAGAAGTTTGGGTCCTGGAGCTCAGGAGACAGGTCTTTATAATAAATTAAGGACCGAACAGGGGAGGTGCAGAAGAGAAAACCATACTGGGAATAAAAACCGCCGAGACCTTCCCAGGCACTCAATGGCTCACACACCACCTGCGAGGAGGCGTCTGCTCCCCGCTTGCCAATGACAACGAGAAAAGTGCCCGCGGAACTTGGAGCGCTAAGAGAAGAACCAGGAGAGAAGCCATCAGACAAGCCGGGGACTGAGAGGAACCCAAAGAGAAGGGCCCCGTTCCAGCAGGAGGGCCTCTGCCAGGCCAGGCGGGAATGTCGTGGAAAGCGGGCCGTGGCATTTGGCATCAGGGAGGGAATGGAGGAGGACATGGCAGGCGGCTCCCAGCTGCAGCCCTTGGAGCCGGAAGGTAGGTTGGGACAGTCAAGGAGTGCAGGCTCCTCTGTCAGGCCCCGTAGTCACGGCAGGGTGTCTGCAGGGGACAGGGCTCTCAGGGAGCCCCCGCCGGTCTGGGCAGAAGGCAGCGATGCAGACGAAGCCTGAGATGTGGGTTTGAATCCAGCCATCGCCGCCCACTAGCTGTGTGAGCGACTCTAGGTAAGTTCTTAACGTCTCTTTTGTGAACCGGGGACACTTGGCATTCCTTCTGCGGGGCTGTGATGAGACTAACATGAGACAGATAATGTGCGTGACCAGTACGGGGCCTGGCACCCAGTAGGTGCTCAGCTCATCCCAGCTGTAAGTGTTCCTTTGTTCTGGTTTCCTTGTTTCCACTACACGTCCCTCCAGACGGCCTATGTGTCCTACAATGGGGCGTTTCCGGGGTGTTTAAGCTGCACATACTGAGGAAACAATCTTGCAATTTTTAACCAGCTCATGTCAGACTTAGAGAAATATATTTGTGATTCTAAGCTAAAAACCGTTCGGGCTGTTTTGATATCCTGGCTGCAGGTCTCAGGAAATGAAGAGTGACCCCCCCCTCGTCCCCCCGCCCCCAGCCATCCCATCAAGACTCCGAGTCTAACGGATGCTCTGCAGCCCGGTGGGGGAAAAGCCCAGGAAACAACAGACCCTCGGGGTCAAGGCAGTGTGGCCAGGACAAGTGACCAGAAACTTTCATTACTTATTCAGTTTCTTGGTCAAGACATTTATTGAGTCTCTCCCATGTGCCAGACCCTGTGCTAAGAGTAAATTCTACAAAATCCATACCTCATGGAACCTACATTGTACTCGGGACAAGAGGCAACCAACAAGGAAACATTATAATAACTGTAAATGTAAGTAGGTATTTTACTGCTGGACAGAGATTAGCGCCACTGAGAAAAAGAAAGCCCGATCAAGACAAGGAGGGAAGAGAGGGCCACTTTCGACAAGGGGGTCAGCTCTGGGGAGATTAGAGGGGCTGTGCTCAGGCCCTCAGCGAGGTGAGGGGGACCCTTGGAGGATCGTCTGCAGGAAACGCATTCTAGGCAGAAGGAACTGCCAGTGCAAAGGCCCTGAGGCAGGACTTCGCTTGGGAGCATCACCAACCATAGTGAGGGCAGAGGCCAGAGCAGTGACCAAGGGACAGGCGCAGACAGGGCACCAGGAGCCAGGTGGGGGGACTCAGTGGCCACGCGAGGACAGGGTATTTTCACATCAGCTTGAGGAGAAGCCGCTGGAGAGTTCTGAGAGCCACGTGGTACGCTCTGAGGTCCCAGCGGGGTCACGGGTGCTGGGCACAGAACAGACTGAGGGGCCGAGGGCAAGGGTGGGGACAGGCAGGCCACTTAAGAGGCTGTGGCAGTAACCCAAGAAATGACGGGGGCCTGGAGGAAGCTGGTAGTGGGGGACTGAGAAGCTGTACTTGGTCTGGGGATGCGCTTGGAATTTGAACTTCACAGGATTGTGGGGGGACCGGATGTGGGGGGAAGAGGAAGGGAGGACTGATCGATCGGTGACCCCAAGACTTTTAGCCTGAGCTACTTGGTGAGAGGGGCATGTGAGGGGTTGGGCGTATTTGTGGGGGAACATGGAACATGGGTTTCATTTATGATATGTTCGAGGGTCCAGTGGAGATGCCACGGATGGAGTGGGGGATCCCCATGCCATGGTGTGGGGACTGAAGAGGAGTGGGAGCTAGACTGATGGCAGAGGCCCGGGGGTGTGGGGGTGGGGAAGAAAGCTGGCTGCCATCCACCACAGGAGGGAGATGGGGCTAGGGCTATGGGAGAGGGGGTGCAAAGGCGATGCAGTTAGAAAAACGCAAGGGGTGCCCGGGCGAGACAGCACGTCACAAGGCAGACCCTGCAAGGTTTCTCTTTGCCTGGGTGTTGAGACCCAAGCCAGCCAGCATAAGCAGCACCAGAGCCAAGACACCGAGAGTCTGCAGGGGCCATTTTTCTTGAAAAACCATCCATTTCCCATCCACAGCAGAAGGCAGTTGCTTTGCCGGGCCTCCCCAGAGGCTGTGATGGGAAACAGAAAAACAGCCTCTGGCAGCGCGGCAGCCTCCTCTGCCACCCCTCCCCCACCGCCTGGGAGAATAATGAGACCAGTGGGTGAGCCGGGAGAAGCACGGACCCGGGCTCAGCGAGGGGCACACACAGCCGGGGCACAGGTTCCCTAATAACACGCAGCTTCGGGCTGGCCGACCACAGCCTCCCGAAGTGCTTCCGTGCTTTTCAAAGGGGCCCGTTAGCTTTAGGGATGCTCCCTAGATGAAGCCGTCAGCCCTGTGGAGGGCGCGGAGGGCACAGCCCCCATCAGCTCTGCGTCTGCTACGTCATGGGGAGTGGGCAGCTCGGTGGCTGGCATCTAACTCCAAACACAGGGTGGATCACACCTGCTTCTCTGGCCGTCCTGGGGGAGACGTCAGCCCTCGCTGAGCTGCCGAAAGAAAACCCAGGCCCCCTGGCATCAGGATACACGGCTGGGACTCCCGGGACAGGGAAAGGGGCCCAAACCGCCTAGGTTCTTTAAATCAAATGGCACGTCCTCCAGGGGAGGAGAGGTGGGTAAGGGCTGTGACTTTTTGTTCAATTGCGCTGCCGAATTTAAGAACCTAGGCAGTCTGCAAAGCGTATCTGTGAGCTGTGACTTGTGAGCTGTTTTTGCTGCTTCTCCTCTTCTTTCTAATTTCTGTTTCATTGTGTTAATCACAGCTCCGAGTCTAGCTGTCAAATGCAGAGTTGGCTCAGACACAGCAGCCTCCAGGATCTTTCAGAGACGCCAACCTGGACACGCCCCTTGCCTGCTCTGGTCGGCCACGGCGGCCAGTGGTCAAAGCCCACACGCCTCGGTCAGTATGGCTAGCAGGGCTGTACAGAACATGCCCCTCGTTACCTTCAATGGCCACATCCCCCCCACACGCCCTCCAGCTGTAATGAGCTGCTAGGTCCAGGAAGGCGCCTGCACGCCCGCCCTCCCCTCCCAGCCTTGGCACAGGTTCCCCCTCTGCCAGCACCACCTAACACCTGCCTCCCACCCTCTGCCCCTCCCCTGGCTGACTCCTACACATCCTGTCTGTCTCCAGCAGATGCCACTTCCTCCAGGAGGCTTTTCCTGGACCCCCCCCCC